GCATGGCCGCATGCTGTACACGCCGTAGCTTGACTCATCAAAACATCATGCTATTATTAACATATTGCTAGTATTTGCAGACAAAATATTTGCTGCTCGTTTTTAAGCTGCTTGTACCAAACCGCAGAGAAGTGAACGTTTGTTCAGTGGTCAAGAAAATTAGCAGTAAATAGGAAAAAACACCGCATGATAAGTCTGAACCGGCATTCTAACGTGCAAAGCAACCCATTAACCCGTCGGGCCAGTGCTCCCTCCCATTAACCACTATTAAACTGGCAGTAATCGAACCTCCAGTCGAATTTCCAGACAGCGTACAAAGTATTCTGGCAGACGAATTGCCGCCTCCGAGATATCCTGAAACTCCCGAAGGACAACTGCGCACGCTGACTTAACAAAAACGAGGACATACTCCGGCGACGAGGAGAGTATTTGGAGGAACTCAACCTTGAGCAACCGTAAGACGATTTGCTTGAAGAGCAGCGGGCAACGGATTTTAGTCTTGTACAAGATAAAGTCAACGTAACAGTAAAAGGCTTTACAAGTGGCTAGTCTGCAGACATCGATGAAATTTTTCCGCTAAGATGCTTACAGTTTCTCAGAAGCGGCGAACAAACATGTAGGGACTAACATGTGCTTGTGAAACTGCAATGACTACCGCGAAGGCCGGTAGAAGAGTACCCATGTTGAAGAAGGCAGGCATAGGGATGTGCTCTAATTGTCGGGTCATTTAGAGCTTTCAGAGCCTCCCGGGAAACGTCCAATCATATCTGCAAGAAAGGAGGTGCAGCGAAATAGCTGACTCTAAGATCCTGGAAGGGCAGTGTGGCTTCGAAATGGACAGAAGCACTGTGACTGTATGTTCGCCTTACTCCAGTTTATGGAGAAATCGTGGCAATTGTCTCATCTGGCTTACATGCCCTTTGATGATGACTTGAAGAAAGCCCATGACAGAATTCCGCCGATGAAATTATTGGCGTGCCTTTAGACGTATGTCAGGTGTTATGAGCCATTAAATGTTGATAACAAGCGTTGCGTCAGTGAGTAAATGACGTTAAGTCGAAAAACTTCAACGTTGGGACTGGTCCCCGCTAAGGCTGCGTCCTGACCTCCCTCCTGTTTGTGTCATGTGTGGATATAATCGTCAGGCACAGCCAAGACTATGAGTGTGTCATCGTAGGAAATGTAGAACTTTACTGTTGGCAGACGACCTTGTTTTGTTCGCGCATTGTGAAACTGAAACATTTTCCAGCGTTCTGTGGCCGGCATGCATGTGACTGTATCCAAAACGAAAAACCTAATGCCTTCTCGTTCTCCTACCCGTTACGCCCTGTAGATATGCAGATGATGCAGTGGAAGAGGTGGAGAATTTCACTTACCTCGAGGCCATGTTTACAGATGATGGAAAATGGGAGGAAGAGCCGACTGATGAATTAGAATGGCCAGCGACGTCCTGTGTGAACTAGCCCAAATCGTGCTTTCCAATTTGCTTTCCGTGCCCTACACGACCTACATGATGAAGCTCATACAGAATCATGAATCGCGGGTACTAAAGTAAAAAATTCGATCCCGGGTACATGCGTCTAAAATGAGCTTTCTGCGACGAATCGCCGAGTTTACACACCCCGATACTCGGTCCAGAGTACAGAAATCCGCGACAGCTTGGTGCATACCCGCTGCTTCATAAGAATCAAAGGTCACAACTGCAACGGTTGGGTGCTTCGAGTAAAGAAGGCGAAACAGCACCGACCGGTCGAAGACCCCCC